CCAAATAGCTGGAACTACAGATACCCAACACAATGCCCGGCTACTTTTTATTGCAGTTGTCGTTGTTTAGCTGGCCTCAGCTGGGTTTGAACCTGCCAGCCTCAGTGCACGTGGCTGGTGCTGTAACCACTGTGCGACGGGCGCCAAGCCATTGAATATATTTTTTAAAAGCAGAGAGAAGATTTATGTAAGCCGTAGTCATAAACTATTTAGAACTGTCGTTACTATTAAGAATCTACCCCTGGGGTGGGTGCCATGGCTCATGCCTGTGATCACAGCGCTCTGAGAGGCTGAGAGGGGAAGACTGCCTGAGGCCAGGAGTTCAAGACCAGCCTAAGCAACACAGCAAGCCCACGTCTCTACAAAAAGTAAAGACATTAGCTGGGTATGTTGGGACACACCTGCAGTCCCTGCTACTTAGGAGGCTGAGGGAGGAGGATCACTTGAGCCCAGGTGTTTTAGGTTTCTGTGAGCTGTGATGACACCACTGTACTCCAGCCCTGGTGAGAGAGCAAGACTCTGCCTCAAAAAAAAAATCTACTCTGTAAAAATGACTTTAATTTTTACATTGTTAACTATTACGGTGGCCATTTGCCAGGTGAGAAAACTCTTAAGTTTCCATCAGTTGGTCAAGGCTTCATATTCACAGTAAAAGGGAAAGCAGCTTTGAAACCCAGGTTTTCTGACTCAAAACCCAGTTTCTTTATTCAACTCTGTCATCTTTGCTGTGTCTGAAAGACATGACGTCTGATCAGAAGAGCATCCTGGAACTGTGTCATCCCCTTGCGGTAGTTCCTGTAGTGATTTTGCTGCTAAATCTACATTGTCAGTCGTATGAATAAGAGAGGGAATGTTATAGGAAAAGATAGGACCTCACTGGGTAAATTTTAACAGTACGTACAAGCTCATGCCTTGAAAGAAGTCAACCTAAGCTAATAGCAAATAGGCCTGTTAATGCCTTGATGCTGCCTTCAGGTCACAATTTTCCTTCTAGAAAATGTGGAATGAGAAAGCAATAATGGGAATCTGGTAAATTTTTTATAAACGATCATTTTCTTTCTTTCTTTCTTTTTTTTTTTTTTGAGACAGAGCCTCAAGCTGTCACCCTAGGTAGAGTGCCATGGTGTCACAGCTCACAGCAACCTCCAACTCCTGGGCTCAAGCGAGTCTCCTGACTCCGCCTCCCAAGTAGCTGGGATTACAGGCGCCCACCACAACGCCTGGCTATTTTTTGGTTGCAGCCGTCATTGTTGTTTGGCGGCCCGGGCTGGATTTGAACGTGCCAGCTCAGGTGTATGTGGCTGGCGCCTTAGCCATTTGAGCCACAGGCGTTGAGCCTATAAACGATCATTTTCTAAATGATGTTTTGGTTACCAAATAAAGATCTCCTCTTTGGTTAAAATTATGGGGCAGCTATTTCTGCAGTAATGTTTGTATACTGGTAACTTTATAATTGATGTTTATTTTTTGTACCAAAGTCTTTGAACAGAAAACAAATGGATTAGACATTACTGATTTGCAATATTTCAGCTCCAGAATTCTAGTTTGTCTACAGATGTATTGATAGTGGGAAATAATTCACTTTGGTTTCTTGTGTAAAACAGTTTGTGTTGTTTGTAGCCATAAATTAGACATCCTTAAATAAAATAGAAATAAGTATTTCTGTCTTTTACTTGAACTTAATCTGTTTTTTTTTTTCCATAGGAGGTGTTCCTCTTTCAACCACAAGACACCGACCTGCTCTTGCTGGACCTGTAAGTATTCACTTGCCTTCCCAATATCTACTCTGTCTCATGGAGAGTTCTGGATGTAGTTTTCTAATAAGGAAAATACTTAAGTATAGGGAAGAGTTGGGCTTCATGGGTGCTTTAATAAAGAAAATTTTAAGTCTGTCTTTGAGTTTCATGTTGGTATAATTATCATTTATTGGTTGGTTTAGTCCCTGATTTATTCCAAAAAGACTCATGGCATCTTAACTGTATGCAATGCAATAAAATTTAAAAGCTAAAAAAGAAAGGAAAGAAATCAGAAAGAAAGGAAAATAAAGGCAGAAGCTGTCTGCATAATGTATAAAATTTCATCTTCAAGAAATTTTCGCAGTAGCCCTGCCCTTGTGTCCTACGTATGTTAAGGCCAAAATTATTACCACTGAGAGTCCAGACTCACACATGGAAGAAGGGAGAAGTTTATTCTTATCAAGCATATGCTCGGGTCACTCCCAAGAAAAAAGCAGAACAGCGGGGAGTGGCCCCTAAACAAAGGCCAGGGAAACTTTTATACACTTTCCCGCAAGGTACTATGGGTTGCAATAAAATGCTGAAGAAGATAGCTGAAGAAGAAGCTAGTGTCTGGTCACTCATTGGTCACTAGGGAGGTCTTGGGGTTCTGATAGGCCAACTGCCTCTCCGTGGTTGGGGTCTTAGCTGGAATGATAGTGTGTGAACTTTTGATGGGTTGCTGCCGCCTGGGCTGTAGCTGTATACCTGATTCGATATATGGCCTTGGAGCTTCCTGCAGCTCTTGCCTCCTCCCCCTTCTCCTCCATGTCTTCCTTCTTCCCCAGCTCTTTTATCTTTTTTTTTATTTTTGCCACTACCACTACTATTTAAAGGCACAGCAAGGAAAATAGTAGTAATAAAAATAGGTTCATAGCTGCTCCCTCTCATTCCCCCCTTGAGCTAGATCATGTCTGAGCCCAATCCTGGGCTCAGGGCTGGTAAGAAGTGTCTTGACTTATTGGTCAATATTGGGATTTCAAAACTAATGCCTGGACTATGCCTATTCTTTTTTTGATAAAAGAGATTAGTCTGTTTAGAATGCAAGGTCCTATAATCGTTAATAGCAGGAGTAGGGTTACTGGGCCAATTATTGCAGATATTAGGGTTGTTAACCAAGGGGACTAATTAAGAGGGGCTCATACCAACTCTGTGACTGTTCTTGCTCTAGTCTCCGTTTTTGCAGTCTGTTTTTTACTAATGCCATTGATTCTTTGACTATTCCTGAATGGTTAACATAAAAATAGCATTTTTCTTTTAAAGCTGCACATAACCCACCTTGTTGTAAGAACAAGTCTAACCCTCTTCTATTCTGAAGCACTACTTCAGCTAGGGAAGTCAGAGATTCCTGGAGATGTGAGATAGCTTTTTCCATCTTTTCTAAGTCCAGGTCTATAGCTGCACTTAAGGCTTTGTAGTTACGGTCTTGAAAAACAAGAGCTGACACTCCTGCCCCTACGCCAGCAAGACTTAGGATTGCAGCGAGGGTGATGGCTGTGACAGGCTCTCTTTTGACTCAGGAGAACTTTGTTTCTGGAAATATAGTCTCCTTTTCATGATAGGTAAGCTTGGGGATTAATTGTACTAATA